TTTTTAAAGTCGGGGGTTCGAATACACCTGGTGCCACACTTTTATAGTTTTAAATTTTCGCGTTTTCAAAGACTATTTTAAATTTTTTATAGGCTTGTTTATTTTCCTTCAATTATCTATCCTTTATACATTCCCATTATTGATATAAGAAATACTACAGAGAGATAAAATCGTAACAATCCAATGTACAGTTGTCACTCAGGCGGAACACTTTCTCCGATGACAAGAATAACTCACTCTGTGTTACTCGATACAGGTATCCTCGACAGCACTGAGCTGCGATGAATTTCAATTGTATATATTCCTTAGAATTTAATCACATTGCTTTTATTCCGTGTGTGCTACTAGTGCTTGTCTGGGTTACATGTAGTATGTTACATATTGCTTAAATTATTTGAGCTTAATATGTTTAGAATAACATACATGTACTTTTGTTTTCAGTCAATATTCTAAAATCTTAAGTTTTGAAACAGTAGGGCTACATATATCAGTAATTGTACTACCTTGGATTTCATTTAGGCCTATATAATTTGCACACATTGTTATATCCACGGAAATGGAGTGGGGTCTGTCAGCTAACATCCGTAACTGTACTCGGCAATGCTGCGGAAATGTGTTGTAAAATAAATAGCTTAGACATAAAAAGTAGAATTCCAGAGACAGTAGACATTACCATTATGTACAATTAGAAGTAAAGAAAAATATCAATTATTACATTTGGAGATAACAAACTCAGAACATCAATGAAAGTGTTCCTCCTACCTCCTCTTACTGAAATAAAGATTTATGAAAAACAAATTGTTACATGTATTCAGCCTCAAGTCATTTACCGGAAAGGAAATCGACAAACTTTCTCTAGCGACCCTATAGGTCAGATCCCTATTTATATAGAAGTGAACCTTTATCCGATTGTCTGTAAACAGTGAACTAATTTGCCAGTGCATTGGTAAATAAAATAAATCCTGAATAATCATACAGGTATATTAGTTGTTTTATTAATCACGCAGTTCTAGAGAATATTCTTTTTTAGTTTTTAGGACATGGGACATGTATACATATATATTGAATGTATTGTTAAGAACCGTGATTATTGATTACATAAATTATTGATTATTTTTAATTTTTAATTATTTATTTATTTATTTATTTATTTTTTTTTTTTTTTTAATTTTTTTATTTTTTTTTTTTTTTTTTTGTCTACACGCGATTTGAAATGAAGAGTTTTAGAAGGTGGTGGGTATAATATAATTGTGTTTATTTGATAAACCAATGACTCAAAAGAGAACTAAATAATTACAATACTTATCCCCCGGCTTCTCTACCATATAAAATTTTAATGATTAAATAAAGTTTAACTCTGTAATGAAACGATATATTTACCATTTTATATAAAGTGCATTTAATGAATTACATGTATCGGGTCCCGCTGGAGATATGGATATTTTTTTTTTCTTCGAACGGGCTCTTGTTTCTATCATATTTTTTCCCCCGATGGTATACTTACTGAAACAAGTGCCCGTTATATTTAGTCATGTACAGAAGATACAACAGTAAGATCTCGGTAATCCCCCCCCCCCCACCTTTTCCTGCACAATGTTCCTGTTAGATGCAGTTTACATATTACCTTTGCAAATTATAAACAGAACCTAATTTTCTCAAATGAATTTTTTTTAATAAATCAAAAAATGTATGAATCAATCAATAATTAAAAAAGGAAAAAGAAAGTCAATCCGTTTACAGAAATCATACGCAATTGAATCATTTTTTTTTTTTCAAATCAATAACTGAGTTTATTTGTTAGTAATAAAACGACTATTTAATATCAAATTATAATTGGAAAAACATTAAATGCTGTGAAAGATTATGAATTACAAACATGTTATTTTTTTTTCAATGCGTAATTTAGAGTCTAGTGAAAAAAGGTTTGTACACAGACGATAATAAGTATTTCACCGGGCGGGTCACATACTCACTGACAACTATGTATTAATTACAACTGAACATTGAGTATTTTATTTGTTAATATAGTATTGGTGTAGCAAGTTTTAATCTTAACTTAATCTGAATGATTGCAATTCTTAGCTAATCTTTGATTAATCCGTAATGATTAAAATAAAGTCCAAGAGATTCCGAATAGAAAATCCAGATCGAGGCCAAACCGTGCGAGAATCGTGTAAAAAGCGTTTCGTGCAGGCTTTCGTGTAAACCGTGCAACTTTTCGTGCAAAGCGTTTCGTGTAAACCGTGTAGCGTTTCGTGCAAACCGTGTAGCGAGCGTGTACCGTTCGTGCAGCGTGTATGTGGAGTAGTAGCACGTTTCAGGGTCTGTATATATGATAAATAATAATATTAATAACTATAGAAATAGCATAAACTGTGTAATAAGTTGTAAGTAAGGAATGACTATTTTTTTTTTTTTTTTTTTTTTTTTTTTTTTTTTTTTTTTTGCTTTTTGATGTTATTAAGCAATTGGCTTGCGTTATAATTTGCATAAACGAAGGCGTTTAAAACCCTTCTCTCTGTACCTTTCTGATGATGTGTTTCTCTTTTTCAAGATAAAGGTCAACATTATTTGCCTTGTTGAAAATATTCCATCCTCTGCATGGTCCTGTTCCACTCCAACATCTTGAGACGTTTTAACTTTGCAATGCCTGAATCCAAATTATTCCATGTTGAGTAGTTGTTAAGCATTTTGGTTCCCATGAGAGAATCTCCAATGTGTAGCTTTTTAACTGTCACAGCTGGTCTAATCTCTTTATCAATCTCGGAATCTATGAGATGATATTTAAAGGAACTAGTTCTTCGGTTTCGGGTATTTCTGGTGTGTCTTGGTCTTGACTTCTAATAAACCATCGTTTAGGTCCAAAGAGCCAAGGACTGTGTTTCATATTTTCAACTGAGATGGGTTTAGTTGCTTGGTGTACAGGATTATATTCTGATGACACATAACTCCATTGCTCTGGTCACGAGACCTTATGAATTTCCTCAATTCTGTTGCTAACGTAAGTGTAAAATCTTCTTGTCTTGTTGTAGATATAGCCAAGGTAAACTTTACTATCTGTATGGAAATGTATTTCTTTTGGTTCAATAACCAACTGAACTTTGATGATTTTGGAGATGTCAGTACCAAGAACTGTAGCACACAACGGTATCTGTTTTTCTAGGTGCCACTTTTCCTCTACAAGAACAAAACCTTGATGTAAATTGCCATTTAATCCTCACTCTAACGAAGGAAACTGCGGCAATGGCATCTCCTGACGCATCTGTAAAAACGTGGACATCTTTCCTGACGAGACTCTCAGTTGGCACAGGAAGGTAAAGACGAGAGATTTCTAGATTCTCAAGATGCAGTAATTTTTGTTTCCATTCCTTCTGGTATTGTTCAAGTATATGTTGATCCCAATCTGTAAATTGTAAAGTCAACTTTCTAAGCAGAAATTTACCTCTAATGAAAACGGGCTTCAAATCCTAGGGGATCATAGAAGCTATTCACACAAGACAGGACTCCTAGGTGAGTGTATGGCTTCTTGTCTAAGGAGAGTCTGAATGTAAATGAATCTGACGGTAGATTTCAGCTTATCCCTAAACTTCCTGAATTGGAAGTTATCTTTCAATAGATCAAGTGACAACAGGACTTTTGCAAGGTCTTCAGTAGGAAAGCAAAATTTCTACATGGACGATAGTTTAATATACATATATACAGGATTTATTTAAAAACATCACGTTCTATTTTTGTTCATGACGTCGCATAAAGCAACGTCAAAATAGCGCAACGTTATCGTAAATTATGCTACTTTTACATTGACATAAAACAAGCTTCATACCTATGACTTTTCACACCAACTTAACACAGATCCGCGTTTTCAATGAGGTGGGGTGGGGTTCAATGTCACTTTTAGTTGGTTTAGTATATGCATTTAATAACTCTGCAAATTCCAGGGGGAGGGGGCCGGTCCAACCCCCTCCCACCCCGAACCCCCCCCCCCCCCCCCGACACAGACCGATTTTTGAACCAAATGCACATTGTCCTTTTCAAATATCACGGCGCAGTTGTATGACGACATATTGTAAAAATTACGGGAAAATTGAATAAGAAATAGCCATTTTTTATTTGATACACTTAAAGATAGGAAATTGTCATATTTTGAGGTTCCGCCGACTAGAAAAACCATTGCTTACGTTATTGTATGTAAACTACTTTAAAAAAATTAAAATATAAAATCTGCATGGTATGTAGGAAAAATGTATATTTATTTACACTCCAAATTTCATTGAAGTATCTTGAACAGTATTGGTTTTATAGCACCAGGCCACGAACTATTTGATAACCCCTCGTACTTTCATTTTAAAAAGAAAACATTATGAAGAAAACATTCAGTAATAATAGGTATCAAATATTGAAATGAATGGCAGTACGTCTGTCAATGTGTCCTTCATTCTAAAGGTAACTTTAATCCTTATACAGGCACAATAATCCATTTAGCCTTATTCAATTCCAAACGTTTAGGTGAAAAATGTTTATATTGTAGCTTATCAAAAACCGTCGATAAACAGACAAATCTATAGCCATGACTATTAGAAATTCAGAAATTTGATATTTACCCCTTTTTTAACCAACAAACTTCAAACTTACTACATATATGTACCAAGACAAGAAAAATTTTCCGTAAGTATTACAAAAGTGTTAGAGAGAAGCAACTATGGATTTAAAGGTCATGATTTGGTCTGAAGGAGTTTGTTCTCTGGGGCTTTGCAGGACTTTCTTCACACATAGTCATTACATATATAATGCATATGGATGCTGGGTTCCATAATGTCTAATATTTTTTTTATATATTTTTGTCATTTTGACACAATCATGTCAAATTGCGTGGTCTGTACTTGTATGACTTTTTTGATTGTCATTCTGACACTTTATTTTTAATTTTGTGAATCATAAAAAATTGCACTCAGAATATATTAAGGTAGACTATTAAAGCCATGTTTTCTACATCATTAAATCATAACATTTTAAAACTCAGTGTGGTTTACAACCAGATCAATATTTTAAAAAGCCAATATTAGTAAGTATTGCTTATTTCGCATTTAAAAGATTATTTTATTTGATTATATCTTTGCCAAAAGTAAACATAATAAACAGGCATCTTAGGCCAGGACAGATACTTGTAACTACAAAACTCATCCAGATATACTAGTTAACTTTTTTTCCAATAAGTGCTTGATGTAAAAAATACCTATTTTTTCATGAAAACTTTCATAATGTACCGTACATAGGATTCCTTTCTACAACTTAAAATAAATCCATAAAAAGAAATGGTTGACATTTAACTTCACTGCGCCTTGATTCTGATTAAATAGTGTAAGCATATTTATATAAACAAAGGAAACAAAATAGCTTATATGTGCAAAAAAAATTAGAATAAAACCTCTTTAATATACGATTCAATAAAAGGCAAGATAATATTATGAAAAGTAAATATATAAATAATAAGTAAATAAATAATCTATTTAAAGTATTCTTTTTGTTCTGAAAATTTAAAGGCAAGAGTTAATTATAGAAAAGTTTAATAACCTGTTTTTTATTTTCAAGAAATGGAGACAAAATATGAAATATGATTGACAGGAAAAATATTATGTTAAAAACACTTCGTCTATAGGAAATAATCTTTAAAACAAGTATTCTTTTTCATGCGATGAAATTGATTTTAGATTAAACTGAGACGAAAGGCCAAATCTGTCGTTATGTGAGAGAGTTTCTGAAAGGCTGTACATAAGGCCAATGTACAGTTAAGGTGCCCAAGGGAAATATCGGCGTTTTTTTTTATTTTTTTTTTTTTTTATTTTTTTTTTTTATTTATTTATTTATTTTTTTTTTTGAGATAAAAAATACATTCTATATAAGGATTAGATTTTTTTTTTTGTTCTTTACTTCTATCGGACAGATTTAATGTGGTTAAAAACTACATGTTGAGGACGATCAGATTTTCTATCTAAACTTGTCACGTGATGTGGCAATCACGTGATTTTAGCGAATATACCTGCAGTATTGAGGTCCTCTATAATTTTCAATATTGCAAGTACATGACCAAGTTAAAATTCTAAGTTTAATTTATAAATATTTTCAACACCCTTTGGAGCTTGTGAAAAGTGTGCGAATCTATACAGACTCAAGTATCTAATTGCCAAAATTATATTTAATTGTTAGACCGCGTATTAAATATTTTGCTGGTCAACTGCATTAATATAGAAAAAATTAATTCATTTGCCATGGCCGTAGGAACCGGGGGGGGGGGGGGGGGCAGGGGGGGTGCCCCCCCCCCCAATAATTTTGCCGATATATAGAACACTATAGAAAACATAGCTACTATATACTTGTGCCCCCTCAATGATAACATAACGGCTGATGACTTTTTTTGTGCTTGTCAAGGAATTTTGGTCGTTGATAGTGCCCCCCAACTGAAAATATATGGTTGTGCCCCCTCAAAGTGAAATTGCTAATTGCTTCCTATGGGCCTGTTTGCAATATTTAATCAGCTTCGCAACACTTTTCAAATACCTTAATACTTCTTTAAATTTAAAAACTTGAGGGTATGCCCTTGCAATATATGGATTTATAAAGACCCATCTATATATTACCCTCTTATGCTGCCTCCATAAATTACAGCTAGTTAAACCGTTTTTTATCTTTATTGAAACACCATAGTTCAATAATGTGGTGATACATAATACGTACGGTGAAAAGCTACAATAGACAAAATAATAATAATAAATGTGATGTACAATGCTCAATGTTAAGAAATTTATGAAAAATCTGAAAAATACCTATATTCACAATATATAGAACATATTACTGAGATAAATATGTAAATTAGCATCATATAAATAGAGACACTTTGCAAATATCAGCAAACATGGATAATACATATGACAAATTTAGCTACTCTGAATTCCCGGTAAAAATTAACAGTCAAATTTCACATCTGTAGAAGAAAATAATAAAGAAATCATTGCCGAAAATTCATAAGCATAATACAAGTAACTGTAAATAGAAAAATATATGAAATACTTACATTGTGGGCAGAGTAAAAAACTGTAACAACAGTATGACTGTACATGTACTGAGTAAGGCGACGAGTGACGAGAAAATATCTCGTGCTGCACGCACGGAAATAACAAGTGTAAACAAAAAAGAAAAACCAAAGTGTACCGGAAGAAAAAATTCCGGCTTACAAGACGGCACACTCTAATAAATCTGCATACAAATACATGTTTAAGAATAAAAATCACAAAATGGACGTCGCATCCAAGTTAATTGCTTCTTACGTATCTGCAAATAACATTTTATTTAATTAAAAAAAATACATTTTTCTTTATAGCCTATAACTTGATCAGCCTCACACTTCATACAAACTGCGTCAAATTTTACCATATGACGTCACATTGACAATTTAAGTGCATTGCGATGAACGCATGGTTAATTAACTAACAACAAACATGCATGCAGTAGTAAGTTTATGTTGTTTAAAACTCTCCGACAGTTTAAAATCGTAGATTATTTCATTTTATGGTATTTGTGAAGAACTGATTTTTTTTTTTTGTGTGATGCAATACTAGATATTTCCCGTATAAGTTGGGACTCGCCTCCTTTTTGTAGCCTTAACATGCTCGGGCGTGAGATTTCCTTCTTTCTCTCACAGAATGGACAATTGGATCCTTTTTATCATCTCAAATGAGCTGTAGTTAATTATATACTCGATGTAAAATTCTTACTTATAATTATAGAATTCAATACCGAGAAATGATTTATGATACCATAATGCAATAAAAATTAATACCGAATGTTCAAGTAATAATTCGTCAGTAAAATATATTATACTTTAAAGAAGAAAACGTCTTTAGCATGGACATCCCACTTTATACTGGCGAGTCTCCCAGTAGAACAATTAAAACTAAAATCAAATTTAATTGTACTAACAGTAACTTTTATCCATTTTTTGATTATTGTACTTTCACTCTTAATCGCAAACTAATTTATTATTGTGATTACATGGAAATGTCTGTGGACTACAGTTTGCCAGATTATCAATTGTCTTAAACTTGATTTCTACATGACTTGAACCGGAGTCAACTTTGAATTAGCAAGCTTACAAAGCCACAGTCAATGGACAAAAGTATTCGTCATTATCAAAATGGCGTCGCGTTGTTTACGTTCACAACGAACGGTTTAAACGGAAATTTGTATACTTAAAATTGATTTCACCTACCTAATATTTGGTCAGATTTCCCTTCATACGGATTGCTTCTTTAATCCGGTCTAGAATGGATGCGTAGAAGCTACGGATACTTGTCTAATTGCCTCAAACAGCTGATCGCGACTCGCAATAGTTGCGGACACTCCTTTGAGCTCTTTAACCAATTTTTTGTTTTTCAAAAACATTTAAATATGGAGAATCACACTGCTCAACGCGTTATCGGCAATTCGGTTGTTATCGGGCATTCGGTGCAAGAAAAGCGATGTTTAGAATACGTAGGTGATTTTGAATTTCCTAATTCAACGATAATTGCGTACTCCAGCAAACAAAGTTTGTAATCTTTGGCAGATATATAATTATACTTTCAGCAGCAAAAAGCACAAACCAAATCACTCTCTTTTAAATGATCTACAGCTCTCTCAAATGATATTTTATAAAAAAATTTCGGAATAAGTCATTACATTTTAGCTTTTGTAGAAGTCAATTTCAGTTTTTTGTATTAAACAAAATAGTTTATATATTCTATGGATATTCATATACCTGTAGATAAGCAGACTAAGATCAAAAATCCAAATTAAGGGTTAGTTAATAGGTATTTAAAATGTCTCGTTAGGTGAAAACATGTTATCGTCAACAAGGTTGATGTTGCCGGATAATTCGGTTTTTACGAGTGCACGTTATCGGAAACTCAGGTTCAAAAGTTTCCTTCAGCGTCAGAAATAGATTGGAAAAAAAGTCCATTATAATCTGTCAATCCTTAAAAATTTCAAACGTAATGTTTTTAAAGTAATTTTTGAAAATTTTCTGTCCATTGTTAGTTTTTTGATATACATGTATATAATTGTGATTTTATAATAGAACTACTTATCTGTTCAATCATTTTTCTGTTTTCCATTAAAGATAGCCACTATTGGCTTCAGGCGGTTTCAGACGTAAATGTACATGTATATTTAACCAGTCTATAGTTTCTTTAGTTAGGTCTTACGATCTATTATGTCATTTTTGAAAAAAAGCATCGTTCAGTAAAAATAAATAAATACATAAAATTATTTTAAAAAAAAAAAACAACAACGTTAAACCCATTTCCCAAACGTGAAAAATAATCAATTAAATAAAATATTATTTGCAGATATTATGAGGCCATTTATTTAGATACAATGTCCTTTTTATGATTTTGTTATTATATTTTCCGTACATTTCCTATTTAACGGATACTGTATGCAGGTACGTTGGAGGATAACCTAAGGGTCTTAATAAATCGATCTAGTGCAAGGGAATATCCTCAGTGGATCATGACAAGTTTTTAATCATAAACTTTAGAAGTATTAAGCTACATGTATTTGAAAAGTGCTGCGATCCTGTTGAAATCTTGAAACTGAATTAATTATTTCTATATTTAATGAAGCTGACCAGCAAAAAATTCAGTATGCATTCATACAAATATGATTTTAACAATGAAATAGTAGAATCTATTATAGGATCGCAGCACTTTTCACGAACTACATTGGGTGTTGAAACTTTATAAAAATTAAACTTCGAATTTTAACTTGGTTATGCGCTTGCACTATTGAAATTTATTGGTGACCTCAATACTGCAAGTATATGTGCAAAAATCACATGACTGCCACATCACGTGACAAGTCTAAATAGAAAATCTAATCGTCCTCAATATGAAGTTAATAATAACCATAGTTACATTTGTCCGATATAAGAAAAGTGTTTTTAAAAAAATGCCATCCTGAAAAAGAATATATTTTGTAACATAGAAAATCGCCGACATTTCCATTGCGCACCTTAACTGCACTGCGAAA